AATTAATTTTTCAAGGAATATAAACGAAACTGTACCATATTATTGATAGCTTATCATTATTATATCAAAAGTTGTAGAAAAATGCATAATAATAATAATAAAATTTAAATTTATACTGATAACTGCAAAACAGTAAATTGCAATGCCCTTGTGATGCTGGTTTTGATTAATTATTTTAGAAAGGAAAAAAAGTACTTTTTACCATTATTTTTATTTCAAAAAATCTAATGAATGAAACAACACTGATTTAGGGAAAAAATAAAGTGGAGCTAAAAAAAAATAGCGAAATTACAGTTACCACAAATCCAAAATTTGAAAAAGCCTGTACATCAAGTACAATTTATGTTGACTATAAAAACATTACTAAAGTGCTATCAACAGGATCCCGGATATTTCTTGATGATGGCCTAATTTCTTTGCTTGTCAACGAAATCAGTAAGTCGTTTCAAAAATAAAAAAAAATAAAAAAATATTTGAATTATATTTTCTTCTTTTTTTTTCATTTATTAAATCACTTTTACTAACTGATTATTTTTTTAATAGCTAATGATAAAATAAAATGTTCTGTGGAAAACGGTGGAATGCTTGGAAGTCGAAAAGGCGTTAATTTACCATCAACAAATGTTGATCTACCGGATGTAACCGAAAAAGATATCAAGGATCTAAAATTTGGTGTAGAACAGGTTTAAATTTCTCTTTGATCGTAAACAACTGAAATTAATTATCAAAAAATTATTTCTGGCTAATTTTTACTCTATAAAAGAACCTTGTTCCTCAGTTATTTTGTATTTTACAGGATGTTGATGTGGTTTTTGCATCTTTTGCTCGTTCACAAAAAGGTATCGAGCAGATTCGAAAGATTCTTGGTAAAAAAGGTGCTCATATAAGAATTATAGCGAAAATTGAAAGTCAACAGGGTGTTGAAAAGTAAGTTGATTACCAAAAATGTATTTCAAGACAGACTTATAAAATTATCTGCTGATCCCGTTCCAAAAACAAGTTCAGCATTTATTACCGTCTTCACACATATATAGCTCCTGCAACAATTAGTGAACAATTTTTTGAGAGCAGATGAAATCATTGAAGCAGCTGATGGTATTATGGTTGCACGTGGTGATTTGGGTATCGAAATACCACCAGAAAAGGTATTTCTTGCACAAAAAATGCTGATTGCTAAATGTAATTTAGCTGGTAAACCGGTGATCTGTGCAACACAAATGCTCGACTCCATGATCCAAAAACCTCGTCCTACCAGAGCTGAAGGTAAAAATTAGTAAAATAAAAAGCATTTTGTTATCTTTTTCGTAACTTCTCCATCACTTAGCATCAACCATATTTTCCGTCAAGTACCATCTAAAATTTAAGAAAATGTGCTATTACAGCTAACGATGTAGCCAATGCCGTCCTGGATGGTGCCGATTGTGTTATGCTAAGCGGTGAAACGGCAAACGGAGCATATCCAGTTGAAGCAATAGAAATGATGGATTCCGTAAGTTCCAGCAATAGAAAAAAAAAAAACGCTGTTTACTGGTAATTGAAAAGGAAATTCTTACGCCGTATCCCACTAGTTGCAAGAAGTTCAAAAACAGTTAATGATTCATGATAGGGTAAATTTCCAACATCACCTGATGTTAAATATGGCACTCGACTACAACCAAAACTAGAGATTAGTGACTGCAGTTCATTACTGAAGATTAGATTTTCCGGAAAAAGAAGTACAAAGCTGTCAAATGTGTTAAAAAATATTGCATTCTCAGATCACTTTTTCTAGAAAAAAATTTCAACTGAATAATACCAAGTAAAAATGAGACAGAAACTTTAAAACTAATCTTTACGTATACACTGCATCATTAAAAACAAAAATTTGACTTATATTTTCTTTCTACGTTCCACTGCTGCTTATCTCTTTCACTATAAAAGACAACTTCGTATAGTTTACAAATACTAACGCTATTCTCAATACCTGTCTGCCGTAATTATCAATTTAGCTCTTATTTAGAGCCAAAAATACATATAGAGGTGAAAATCGTTACAGATCTGTAAAGAGGCCGAATCAGCAATGTTTTATACATCCTTCTTTGACGAAATTTTGATGTTAACACCAAAACCAACAAATGAATCAAACACTGTGGCCATTGCTGCAACATCTGCCGCACTACACCTTAATGCTGCAGCAATTATGTGTGTCACATCAACTGGGCGGTAAGTCCCTACTGATTTCTAAAATGTTCTTTCCGAGCAGACTTCTTCGAACAGTGGCTTATAATATGAATGTGATACAAACAAACAAAAAATCCTTCACAACCAGAGAGGAGAATGCTTATCAGAACGATTATTTTTGGAGAAAAAAGGTTTTTAGTTTTACTTTTTTTTAGAACCGCTATGTTACTGTCTCGGTATCGACCTCCAGTAATAATACTTGCAATCAGCCGTGATATACGTGTAGCCAGGCAATTACAGCTGAGCAGAGGGATTCTTTCAATACATTATAAACGTATGCTTTTCAAGAATACTAATGATGAGTAATAGTTCAGATCTGCAAATACAATCCCTGTGTCTCTACAACACACACATCCTGCAAAGCACACGTTAATGTTGACTTTCTGCCAACCTAAGCCAAACAAGTAAAAAGAATTTGTTGAGTCAAAGGAACTACTACACCAAGCCGTGAGTGACCGCGTACTGAAGCAACTAACAAAGCTAAAAATGTGATTTGTCGCGAACTATTAGCCGTACCTTATAAAAGTAAAGCCACTTGACAGCTTTGAAAGACGGTGAAAAATAAAAGTAAATGAAGCAAAACCCATTTCAGCTGAACGTGCCAAAACCTGGGAAATCGATTTGGACAACCGTATTGATTACTGTGTAGAAGTAGGTAAACATAAGGGAGTACTTTGTCCAGGAGATGTAGTCATTGCAGTGACAGGACCAACAAGAGGCGAATGGCCAGGTATTTAAATGAGCAATTTGAACCCAGAACTGTTTTCCCAGTTGCTAAGCCTAACCAACATAGTTTCACTTTTTTCGAATTCAAATTTCATAAAAATAGAGCACAAAATTACTCATAAACAAACAGATTATAATGTTAGGTTTCTGTGGGAGTCCTTTTCAAATTAAATAGTCTCTAAATAAAAGCAATTTTTTCCAGGAACTGGTCATACAAACACACTTCGAATATTGGTTGTCCCATAAAACATCACTTATTCCAAGAATATACATGAAGTCGTCTATTTTGCCTGCTTGACTCTGACAGTCTATTTGAACAAAGTCACAAATGCTGGGAAAAAAAATAAACAAACTGTTTCAATCAATTGTATTTCTTTTTTGAGACATCTATAACGGACGTCAAACAAAACTTCCAGTAAAAGTTGCAAAAAGACGTATTGTTAGAGCACGTTACATTAATAAGCCTATTACAGATAACGCAAACAATATTATTTGCAATTTTGACAATGGTAAAACTCTAACTGGTTGTGTAACAATTTCAGATTCACCTTTTCCAACTAAAGTTCAAAATGAATAAAATACACTTCATCCAACTTTATTACATTTTTAAAAATACATTTCTTGAAAACCGATCAAGGTGTAGCCCAAATATTAAACTGATTTCTAAAACATTAGGCAAACGACTTGCCCCTAACTGGTCTTTCCCTGGTTTAATCCGCTTAGAGCTTAACATCAGTTGAGCAGAAATCGATTATACAACAGAAGTCACTAGAAAAGTTCAATAAGCCTACAGGCTTTTTACTATCGAGAAACGCGATTCACTGACTGATTATTTATTTCTACCTGAACTAGTAAAGTAGACGAATTGTGCCAAAAGACAAAAACAATTGTAAAGAATATAGACAAGTATTATGACATAAACGTAACCAACTAAAACTGCTAAGTGCAAAGGTCAACAAAATAAACATTAAAAAATCACCTATATTCCTTTTGTTAAACGTTAAGAGTTGTTGTTAATAGAAATTTTTAAGAATATTCCTATTATATGATAATATATATAAGTAATTGTTGTGAATTGTCACAACATATCCAGGTAAGAGAAGAGAAGAAGCTGAAAATGTAATGTCTCAATCGTAGACATAACATCGCTATCAGCTCCACATCGTAAACATCTCTATTTCGTTATCAGTTGGCCGCTATCACAAAAGGCTAAACGATATCTGATACCGGGAGGGTTTGTCAGGACAAGGAGGGCTTTCTCGGTACCATTTGGAGAAACAACTTCCAATATCTATCTTTGAAACGACATTGAGCTTTAAGAGCCTCAGCTCCTTTTCTACATTCCATCTAGCAACACTTTATAAGCTACTCTGGTATTAGTATTTTGTTCCTTCTTGTTATCTATCGTATACTTGCATGTATAAAATTCACTCTTTCTTCTCACGTTGCATTTCATTTCATTTTAGATCTTTTGTTAATAAAGTTCAGAATTGCAGTCTTTAGCCACACCCATCAAAGTACTCACATAAAAATTAAAGTGTCGTGATACACTGAGCTCTAAGACTGAAGAACCACTTGGAAAATTTTAAAGGTTATGACATTTTTAGTGCCCAGGGTGAGGCATGGCGAAAATTATTAAAATATGGTTAACGAGATTCTCAAACAAACTTAGAGAGGATCTAAAAGAGTGTTATGACGTATTGGAAAGGAAAGAAGAATTCAGTAAGGAGGAGTTCGGCTCCCAGCGACAAATACTGGAGGATCAGATTGAAAGAGGACTCTCTAAGCTAGAGGCGAAGGAACAAGAATATAAGGAACTGATTCAAGAGTTACAAAGGAAAGAAAAAAGGCAAGCAGAAGAGGAATACGAGCAGTATGCCATAAAAGAAGACAATTATATCAGCGTTATTATTAACGCTACGGATGCTCTCGTCAGAATGAAGAGAGAGCTCTTGATCGAGGAGACGTCAGCTGGAAAGCAGGGTGAAGAACGGGTATGAAACTCGTTTAAAAGTGTCAAGCTTCCCCGGATTATGCTACGCATGTATGAAAGAGACCCTCTCAAACGCGAAGTTTTTTGGGACGCCTCCGGAGCCGCGGTTGATCAACAGGAGTTGTATCCGGAGCAAAAATTTAGCTGTTTAAAGGGTTGTCTAAAAGAAGACACCCTCAAAGCCATTGCAGGCATACGTGTGGTCGACAGGAACTACGACAAAGCCAAGGGGATCCCGAAGAACAGATTTGAGAATCCGACAGTCATTAGAAGATATTGCAGCAGTGTTAATCATCATAGAGCAATGTGCCCAACTCAGTTTAGAACAGAGGTAAAAAGAGAGAATAGTTTAAAAAACTCTACCCCAGTGGACAAGAGCACGCCAACGCCAAAAGTTTTGCCCCCCAAAGACTCAACAATTCCAGAAATTCAACCGGTGCAGCAAGAGACTATCACTTCCGAAACCATTTTGAAAGGAGAGTCGGGAGTAACACTCTTGCTGGTCACGAAAGTTGATGTGAAGAACCCGCAGCATCTAGCAGAAAAAAGAATTGCGGCTCTGTCAGATATGAGAAATGAAAAATCCTTTATTACAGAGAAGGTAGCTAGAAATATAAAGCTCACTCCCATTTTGACTAGAACGCTAAGTCTCTACACGTTCGGAAAGTCAAAACCAGAACTGATTTCATCGGCAGTTTATAAAATTCAGGTGAAAAGAAAAAGAGAAGCCAAACTCCTGCAAATCAACTCAATTCCAAGCTTTACTTCCTCTTTAAAGAAAAGAAATAATGAGGGAGAAAAGAGCCCAAACGAGTAATGGAAGCAGATTAACCTTTTAATTAGATCAGATTATTTTTGGAATCTTCTGGCAGAAGCTAAGATAACGCCATTATCTAATAGATATTACAAAACTGAGAATAATTTTGGAACATTTATAAGCGGAAAAGAAAATTCTAGCGAAAATCCTCTGAAGATAAAAGTAAATTAATGTTCCAAAATTGGCGAAAAAATGTTAATGGGTAGTATACGAACAGCACGCTCTGACGTCCTGATGGATGCCTTTTGGAACCTAGAAAGTATTGGAATTACCGATCCCTCCTGGGAGAAAGACGATGATCAAGTATTAATCCTATATGCCTTCATGAAGTATTTCTCTCAACCATTCATTTGATAAATATACTTGAGAAGATAAAGAGTAGCATCAAACTACTAAGAACTTAACAACTTGAAAAAATCACAGACTACTTCTGGTTGTAAATAGTTATTTCATTGAAAATAAAAAAAAATTGAGTGGGTTAAATGAGAAAGGATAGTAGTTTTTTCAAAGCATTTAAACCAATCCATCGAAATTTATTACGAGGATAAAATAACTAGCTTACAAAAGCAGCTGAACGTTACGTAAAAAACTTGAGCAGCACAAATACGATAATTTCAAAAACCGTAAAAAGTATTATCATACTTCTTGAACTATAGTTGAAAAATGAAAATCTTCTGGATTTTAACACAAACGGTAACGAGTACAGTACGTCAGTCTTTGCGTATGAACTTTGAACAATAGCGCTGTCGACAAAGCTTTCTAGTCAAATTTCAAACGACTGCCTGGACAGCGGAAATATCAGTGGCAAAATAATGCACCTACTTGATAACAACTGCATAACTTCCAGTTGAAGAAAGCTTAGTCGTAAAATTTGTGTTAACTTCTGCAACTCAGTACAACAGAAACAGAAAAAATTCATTAGATTTTAACAAATTCGATTCCTAAACCTTTCAAATGAGCACTAAAATACAGCTTTATTTGCTATTGTCGTTCAAAATTCACCATTTATCAAATCTGACTTTTGTTTGTCCATCCATCCGAAAAAAAAAAAGATGTCTTTTCTTTTCAAAATTGCTTGCAACAGTTATCATTTACAGGCCCTGTAAACAATATTATCAATATCATCCTCAAATTCCTAAGCCAGCTAAGCCTTCTACTGCATTTTTCATGGATTTCCTCTTTTTCGACTTCTGCTCTTTACTGAACCAATGACAAGGAAAATTGATGATAAGAATCAAAAACGAGATGATTTCATGTACACAGTGAGACATATTGTTCTCAGGAAATGTGTGACTTAAATATATAAGCGTTAATAATAGCCAAAGACTACCAAGGGCCACCAAAGAATACCTTCTGTTGTCTTTTAACAAAAATGGCTGCGGGATATTTGGTCAAAAAATTTATAAGGAATAATGAGAGTCATTATGGCCATAAAACCCAACTTTAACTTTCTGGTACCTACTCCTGCCAAATTAACCATTAGACAACACTCCTAACAGGTATACACGCTCAACTTACTAACTAGTAGACTTCATGGTAAAATTTATTCCAAGTCTATTGCTAAACTTTGATTTTGGCAGTGAATAAAAATATTATTTTATTTTGGAAAGTTGACAAAAGCACAGAATTTGAAGTAAACTCCGTCATAGTTGGCTGTGTTTTTAATATAAGAGATCGAGTAGCCGTTTTATCTAACACTAATGGAGAGTCACATCGACGAGGATACGTTAGCTTATCAAAGGTGTAAACGTCCACTCACCTTCATGGACTTTGATCAAAAATGCCCTGAAGGTGGCGAGCGCAACGTTACGTGTCGGTCCGTTCGGGACTGCTCAGTTGCGCTACTTTGGGTCTAAGTGCCTGCACCTGCTCCACTGTTCACTGTCAGCTGTGATGTGGTTTCATTATTTCGGATTCTTCAGATGTTATCACAGAAATTACTGTTGGCTTCATAACCTTCAATTTTATATTCTGATCGGTTTTTGAAGTCACTTCATCAAACTGCGTCATTGAGGCAATTCGTATTTGTTACACGTCATCGGTTTAAACTGTAGTCACATAGTGCTTTAGAACCCGATGAACCTTTTTGATATACTTTTTCAGTCTTATTTCTTAATTTTTTTCCCAATTTAACTATTTTTAATATTCATCGCAAAACGGCATTATGTTTATCTCTCTGTCTTTTGTAAACTCTGTTGTTCCGGAGTGCACGAACTACGTCGTATATATGTTTTTTTTTTTACTGAAACTTGAGTATAATTATGATTTAAACTGTGAGTTATCGTTTACTTCTTGCATGACGGTATATCAGGTTGATTATTATCGTTGAAACTGTTGCAGCATTCATAGTTATCGTTACATTTGATACTAATTTTGGTAGTGCTTTTTTCTGCCGCGGCAGCTTCTCTTCGTTAGGATGATACTTCTGACCCTGATAGCTCGTGTCAGTGATGGCTTAATTCTTGCTACTTCTATTGAGGGAGGCGATGAGGTCCTTTTTTCTTATTTCTTCACTTAATCTCATAACTACTCATTTTTAGTTTCTTATTTGACTAAATTTTCAGCCGGACATGGTGAAATATACTAATCAAGCAAAGTTGGTTTTTCGAAGGCTAAATAATTCTGCGGAGACGGCACACACTTTTGAAAGCGGACCATATTTTTTCCAGTGAGTTTTTCTTTGGTTTCTATCTATTTGTTATTTTCCGACACTTTGTAACCTTTCTTTAGTTCCAGTTTATTCATCGAGTGGGGTGAATATACTTCAGAACCATTTAAATGCTTACTCACTTTAATTCCGTGCTATTCATTAGTTGTGACAAAGTTTTTAGTTATATAATCAAAGGTGCCATTTGTGCGCTGTGTTTGTGTGAAAAAAGTTTCCCTCGAAAGTCGGCGTTTGCTTATTTGGAAGAAGTTGCAAATGAGTTCAATGGGCAGTACGGCAATAAAGTAGACTCAGTTACACGACCATATCATTTTATTGAATTTGGTAAGTGCGGTTTTTTGTTCTGAATTTGTTTAAGGAATGACAGACAGAAATGGGAGAGTGGCGAATAACTGCGGTTTTGGGAAATTTGATTATTACCGACTAATCGTATAGACCTAAAAGTATTATCGAGGAGGGATTTTTGGGCTACTTAATTAATCTGATTTTGTAGTCATTTCTGATTTTTCTGCCTCACCTTTTGTTGCATCATATATATGGCAGTTTTTTTTACAAATTTTAAGTATCTCGTACTTAAATTCTTATTAGTCTGCTACCTTTAATATATTATAAGCTCGCGCTTCTAATTTAAGATTTAGTAGTTTTGTAAGAAGATTATTGGTTATAGCTCGAAAATTATAAAAACATTTGTAACAGGTACGGTATACTTTGAATCAGCAATATAAAAAATGTTTGACACATTTGAAATAAGCAGTTAAACCCACATTAGCTCGTCAGTTTTTGTATGTGTAACTTAACTGCCTAGACCGAAGCCCTTTCTTACCTCAGTTGTTGAGGTTATTTTTAGTACAAAGGAAACAATTAAGGAAGTATTACTTGTGAAGTTGTAATTGCTGTATTGATCTATTTTTATCGCTGTCTTTTAACGCAGTTCATTTGTTTTTAGTAATTTCATCCAGATTTTAGATCATCATATACAACAAGCAAAGCGGAAGTATGCTGACAAAAGTCGTCATGCGATGTCGGCAGTGAGCAATGAACTACAAGATGTAGCACGCATAATGGTTTCAAACATTGAGGACGTTATCCATCGTGGGGAGAAGTTAAATAGTCAGTTCCCTTTTCTCTGCTTTTCACAAACTATTAGACATATCACTACTAAGCATTTCTGGCAGTTTTAACCGTCTTCGTCATTACCAACATTATTTTTACTTGTTATCGTTATTTTTTTTACTTATCTTCTGTACATAAATAACTTCTGCTTCTCTTTCTAGATCTTTCTTTTTTTATCGATTTTTTCTGTTTTTCTGCTGTGGAATTCAGAATATATTCCAGCACTTTATTAGTGAGACAGTTGCGGGGTATAACTAATAAAAAAAAAAGATTTTTTTAACTGGTGGAGTCATATTTTTATGTTTTGAGACTATTAATGTATATTTTTACTACCTTTCTTTGATAACCCCGGTTCAGTTCTGGAAAACAAGGCTAATGACTTATCGAATCTGAGTCGCAAGTACAGAGAAGACGCGAGGCAACTAAACAGGAGAAGCACGCTATTCAAAATTGCTGCAACTGTTTGTGTTCTTGGATTTTTTGGTTTTGTGGCGCGGTATTTGTTCTGGTAGGTATATTGGAAGCGAGTCGTATAATATTGCTAGTGGTCAAAAAAGAAACTTATTTTACCATCGGAACATTTCGGGACTGTATGTACTTCTTGTCATGGAATAGGCTGTACAAGTAAGATGTTTGGTCACTGGTTTTCCTCGGTTTTTAAGTCTGCGTGCTTTAAACATTACTTTGAACATTGTTATACAGTGTTTGTGTCTGCAGCTAATTTTGTGATATTTCTTCGTTTTGTTCACTTTAATTTTATTTATTTATTGATTTATTATCTAAGAAGTAATGAGTTTGACACATCGTTGAAAAGTTTTGGCATAACGGACTGATTTTTGATGAGCCGCGAAAGCATCGTGTAAATTTTTACAGCTTATTTTTCTAATGAATTATGGTTGTTGTCTTATTGTCTGTTTCTCAGTTGGTCGCTGTTTTAAGCCGTTACCACTGTTAGTGCTTTCAATGAATTGCTCCTTTTAAATTTGGCGGAAGAAATAAAGATCTTTTATCAAATTCTGCGAAACTTTTGAATAATTTGCAGTTTGTTTAAGGTGCGGCTTTGTGTTTCATTCATTATGATACATTTTGTTGTTTTCCTACCATTTGGCGGACTGTTGCTTTGGAGGTACGTTACATTGTGCTGACGTTGATTAAAGACGCTGAGCTTTACTAAATTGAATGACATTGGTTGGTCTCTTGGTTGGCTGTGCTTTCTGTTGTATATCATACGCTTCTAGGTGTGTTTCGCTATTGAGTTCGTATGTTGCGTGGTTCAGTTACGAGGTTGGCGCAGGTAAATGCCCTCAGCGTTTTACTCTTGAGGGTTTTTGTTTTTTAAGGAAGTGGCATGTTTTTACTTCTGGGTTATAATAATTCGTTTCATTTGGAACACTGCGATGTTTACTTTCAGTTAGTAAAGAAATGGTATTTTAATTGGACAGGTACATACGCTTGCAGTATTCTTTTAGCTTAGTAATTCGTTGTTGGTTCTCTTCCTATAATCTTTTCGATTGGTTGCCTCACTATTTTTACTCAAATTATGAGTGTCAGCGTATCAACTCGACCTGTGTTAGTGACTCCACGGAGGAACCAAAAATTTTTTTTTAATTTTTTCGTGTTCTCGGGAAGCCGATTTGCTTTCAAAAACGACAACTTTTATTGAAGTTGAAGGTGGAAATGGGCTTCACTTGTTTTCAATTTGGGCATCATTTCTTGTAACCATTTCGGGGAAAGCAGGAAAAATTGGGATGCGAAGTGAAATATGAGTAGTCGGACTTGATAACTCGTGGGGAAGGAGTGTGTTTGTCGGTCTAAATGTCAAGAAGATACACAAAGGGGTGGAGGGAAAGGGAAGAAAAGTTTGGGAAAACAAAAAGAAGGGGAATGACGTGTTAGTGCCAGTCGTTGCCAGTTTGGACCAACTTAGTGACTAAAATACCTTTATATACTTTTTTATATATGTATATATAAGTATCAGCTGAAGTATTTCGATTATTTTAAAATTTTTTGGCTGTTATAATTCGTAGATTGCTCTGATGTTTTAATTGTTTTTGCTAAGCACTTGAAAGATTTTGCCAGTTTACTTTTGATATATACCTGTTTCATTGGTTCGATGTCAGCCTCATTCGGAACTCAGTGGAGTTCAAAGAAGGTTTTGCGATGGTACTGTCGATTAAAGTAACTATATGACTCGTCGTTAGTTTCTGTACCAAATCTCGAAGTACTTGAAACGAAGGGTAGTTGTTTAAAGATCCAAATTTTTGAATATTTTAACAGTATGACTTGGAATAGTTAAAAATATTTCTTTATCCATCGTTTTTTTCTTAACATATTCATGTGAATAGAAATAGAAGGACAGGGGCTGTTTTTTAACTTAAATGCTTCCATAAGTCGTTTGATTTACTAGCAGTTACAAGGTAAAAGAGATTAATGGATTAATTATAATAGAGCAAAATGATGTCACCGTTGCTACAGTTGTTGACCATATGGAAGAGCAAATACCGAAATAAAAGTGCTAAGGGATTAAATGAGAACAATAAACTGACTGATCTACGTGATCCTCGTGTTGCTTTATTATATCAATTTTAGAAAAAATTAATTGTTGGTATTTTTTTGATTTCCCACTTCCGATCTTGTGTTTCTCAGTTTTGTTGTTTTAATTGGCAAAGTGATATTTATTTCATCATTATTAAGAGTCTGCTCCTAAAATCTATGCTCAAACATATTTTTTTCTCTGATGCGTCTTTAGAGGACAACATGACTGAACAAATTACTGCTCTCTTAGCAGTTGCTGAATCACCAATTCGTTTCTTAGCTCCGATTACGCTGTTTGAAATGTTTTGGTTAAGCGGCTTATTTCTGTTCACTGATCAGGTTATTTCGTGATTAACAAAACTGGAAGAATAAATCTACACAGCCAGACCTCTACAAATACATTTTAGTAAAATTTTTTAGCGAGAAAGAAGTCAAAGAAATTTTAGGTGGTGTCTTCCGACCGTGGTATTCCTGTCGGTTTAAAAACGTAGGCGTTGAACATTATCAAAATTCAGTGTATATCGGGTTAATGTGGCCACAATTCGATTGATACTAGGTGCGTTGCTCAACGTCTATAAAAGAAAGGGCGAGGAGTAACTAACTTTTTTTTTTCTTTTGTAACGCAGAAACTCAGAATATGCATCAGTAAGCATTTAGTAAACCACTACGACAGACAATCTCCGTTAACTGTTGTGGTGATTCATCAGAGCGTCATGCTATCCAGCAGAGGTTCAGCACCTAAGCAAAAGCGCTAGATATCAGAGCTGTGGTTTACTACGGTCACGATTGTAGTTTGTTTTAATTAGCTTAGCAGTGGCCTTGATCTAGTGCGGCAATTATAACTGGACAAGTAACCAGCAGAAATGAAGAAAAGATAGCAGTTTTAGAACATTT